TAAGGAGAAGAGAAGTGATAGCACATCGGAACCAAATGCCAGATTATCCATCAGGGTCCCCATGGTCTAAATAAACCAACAGGCCTTAAAAAGAGGGCATGAAATGATAGCACTTTTAAAACAAGTCAATATATGAACAGGAAAACCAGAAACAAAAGCAAAACACATATGTGAAAGAAAAATCATCCACAGCAAAAATAAATACAACTGGAAATCAAAGTGTATTTATTATGAAACACATCAAATTAATATAAGATTTTTCTTTTCAGTACTGGGGATCAAACTTGGGGCCTTGAGCTTGTGAGGCAGGCGGTGGAACCACTGAGCTAAATCTCTGGCCCTTCTTTTTCTTTTTTAAATTTCCTTTATCTGTATATGCGACCTAGAAGGACACTAGGTTGAGCTCCCTGGCTCTGGCTCTGAAGTCTTGCCCTCTATTTCACCAGCCACAGAGCCAGAGATGCTCACATACTCTGCATTGCAGGTTTCTCAATTGAACATGGAGTATACAACTGTCTACTACTTAGGAGACAGAAGCATGAGATACATCAAAAGCACTAAATGAAGTTAATCATGTATTCTTTCAGCTATTAAGATATGTTATCTTTATTATGACCCAGAAAACAGGATGCCTGGGACAAAGCAGACCATCAATACATTTTTCAAAATTGTTTCAATGCATATTTTTGAGTAAATATCTGAATACATTTCATAGATTAGTCTTTCACGTGAAATCCAACATAAGAATACTGATGCTAGTCTCTTGAAAGAAAGTGACTATTAATGTTTATTTAAAAATTTAAGAAATGTTTCATTTCAGTCAAAAAGGGGGAAAAACCCACAGTGAAGTTTTTTTTAGAAAATCACTACTATAGAATACATTTTTAAATTTTTATTCCAGTGTTACTTGTAATACATACTGAAAATTAGCTGAACGCTTAAGGTTATTAAAATGCCTATTGAAATGAGTGTCAAATTTCAGAGCATCAACCTCCTTAAATGCTGAGCCTCAGGAAGGCAAGGAAGTTTCTCTGATTATCTGTTTTGTTAGTAACTAATAAAAACTGCAGCATACATCAGATCTTCAGATGCCATCAGAAAAAGGAAAATTTTAAAGTCACCTGTCTTCACATTATTTCTAAATAAGATGTTCAATTTTACATTTATCCTAATATACATTTTACTTAGCTGAAAATAAAAATGACAATTCTCACTCACTTTATATTGGACTTGACTTGGAGATGTCTTTTCCCCAGCTGAGAAATGAAATAGAAAATGATTCAATGCTTTAAAAATGTGAAAGTTCTTGTTGTGTGTGTTTGTGTATCCACACAAGTACACACATACAGTGAAGGCAGGGAGGCAAAAATGCACACGGCAGATTAAAATCTTTCCGAAATACTTGACCCAAACACTTTTAAAAAGCATTAGGCTGGTGGAAATAATAACTGACCTTTCACTTAAGGTACCATTAACAAAATCATCTGTCCCCGTATCAGAATGTATGTGTTTATCCAATGTTTAAATTGAATTTCTCAAACTCCACTGGAAAATAGAATCAAGATTTAATGTTTTGCTGTAAATCAAATGTTGACTTTTTTAAATTCCCAATTTACTTCTTAAATTCATACCTTCAGAAGTTTCATGACTACAAGCTTTCCTATCCCTAAATCAGATTTTATTTTCTCCTACTTAGCTGTAGTTCAAAATGCAACATCCAACTTATCTAACCACATCCACTGAAAAAAAACCAAAAGCAACAAAACATCCAACCTCAGATCTATAATGAGCTAAGCATTTTTTATGTCTTAGAACATTTTACAAAAATAAACACGTGATACACAGAACTTAATAAACACATCAATCTACTTGGGCAGATTTATGATAGCAAAGTAATAACAAATAAAAGTATGAGTTGTAAATCAAACCACATACCCACTTATGGAATTTCTGCAGCTGGAGAAAACCTTGCAAATATTATCAAAGAAAACATTAAAGTACAAAAACCTAAGAGTACCCATTTTAATATCAACACTTTAAAATTTACCATTGGGCAAGGACACCGGAAAATCAGGACTTTTGGGAGAGCTGTTACCTGGCACCTTGACTTAATCTCTAGGGACACTAGCTCCTTCCTTTGTCAAAAGAGGTGCCAGGGAAGGATGATCCCTTCTAATTCTAAGAATCCAAGTACAACTAGACATTTGCTTAGCAGATATTAGACAATCCTCCTAAGAGTTATGGATGCAGGGCTTGTCAATACTCCAGGCAAATTCCTAATGGTTAGCCATTCCTACTCTGGCTTAGCCTCTATAGAAGGACTCTATTTGCCCACAGGGTAGGTTTTTTGCTAAACCTACTATTTAGGGAGCCTGTAATCATTCTTGTTACTGGGGTACTGTATCACGTTAAACAAAAACAGACCCTTAATATACAGTAAAATGCACATATTGAAAAATATGTCAAAAGTTTTCACACAAATGAAACAAAAATTTCATAAAAGTACAGCCTCAATAAAGAATTTCTTGAAATTAAGTTCCACTCTGTGTAAGAATAAGGCAATATTTATTTGTTAGGCATTTTTCACTACAGTGTCTACATCACCAAATCCCAAACATAGAATAAAGAGAAGCATATACTGTGGGCTTAGGCTTAGGAAGCCCTCTCCATCTTTAGAGAGCAAAAATGACAGGAAAATAAGTGGAAAAGTTTTTAATAAAATCACTCTGACTTATAGATTCATTCTAGAAAAAGAAACAAAAGATACAGCAAAATATAAAGTTGCTCCCTCACTTAGAGGTTTTTTTCAAAACATTAATTAAATTTAAAATACTTGCTGTCTCTCCTAAGATGTACGTATTATTTTCAAAAGGTATGTTTTAAAGAAAGGAAGATTATAATTATACAACATGCTAAAATCACAGCCCAGGGCCAGGGATTTAGCTCAGAGGATCTGCTGCCTGCCTCACAAGTGCAAGGTCCTGAGTTCGATCCCTGGTACCAAAAAAACCAAAAATTAAATAAATAAATAAAATCATAGCCCAGTTCCATCAATGTATTATTATGGTAGGGTCTCCAGCAACACAAGGTAATGTGTTCTTATAAAGTCCTCCATTCCAGAAATTCACCTATATATAACTCCACCCAGTTCCGAATTTAATCTTATCATTTTGTTAATATTGCAATTGTCAGCATTCATTTTGCAAAACAATAAGTAAATAAGCTACGATGTGGTAGAATTTATTAAGTGAATGATGATACCATTTAACAAGTAGTTCTCAATGACTGTTATCAAACAATATTTGGAGTAGCATACAATTCTCTAGATCATAATAAAATCCTTATGTCTTTCAATGTACTTCCAGAAACCAATGGGATACATTCAGGAACATGAAGATCCATGAGATCCCTACACTGGGTGTTTATATGGTTTTAACTCTAAATTTAAAAAACATTTAACTCTAGGTCATTCCAAATTTCCAAATGCTAATAATCATGTAACCTGTTACCCGGAGTTGTTTGCAAAACACAAAGTCTCACAAGTAAGTAAAAGTCATCCCTTCCATTATGTGACCCTATTGCTGTACCTGTTTAATTAATTTAAATTATTTTTGATAGTTATAATTTCACATCATCTTTATTCCAAGAGTGAGAGAAGCAGGATAGAGATAGCTGCATGGAAAAGTGAACTGAGAAAAAAGTTTGCCCTAAATTATAAGAAACAGATACTTAACAATACAGAGAATACTTAATCTGAGACTATAGCTTAACTCAGAATTTGCTCTATTCCTAAAATTGCTAATATAAAGCTATACGACTATAAGGTAGCAAACCTGGCATGAAAGAATTTCAAGAAAAGAAGAATGAAAGCCCACAAACTTCCTTCCAAAGGTACCCATAATCTTCATGAGCCTAACATTAAACACACATCTTGAGAATAACTACTACTCAGAATATAACAGAAATACACTGAGAATCTCTCAATTACAGAAATACAGAAGAGTCATACAACTGAAGTTGAAATGGTTGACATTAATATTTGAATTACAGTTCTAAACCTGAATTAAAAGAAAACTTTAAAAATTTAAGAAACATCTAACTAGACTTGAACCCCAATTACAGCACGCCCTGGCTTTGAGTAATAAAGGACAGAATTATAATGCATTACATGGTGACCACATAAGCAGATGACGAGCAGTGGGTTCACAGCATCCTTCTTTCTTTTTTGAAATCAGCTGAGTATTTTCAAAAATGGTATGTGGTTTTTAAATCTGGAAACTTAAAGCTTTAGTTATTCTCCATCAAAATTCCTCCCAAAGAATAAAGTAAAATAATAAGTCTCATTTCAAAATCCCCTAATAGCACAACAGGCATCTCAGAGGGAAAAAGAAGATTCCACTTAAAAACAACCAATCTCAAAAAACAAATGCCACAAAACAGGTTACAGAATCCTAATGAAGAATAACTATTCAACCTTTGATCTGGACAAGTGATTTGTTATTTTTATTTTTACCAAACACACACACACACACACACACACACACACACAAAGAGTAATGAACAAAGTAGCCAGTAGCTGTATTATTTTATTCAGACAGCATGTCAAGGCTTTCCACATTAACACTAACACTGCTATTCCCATGTGCCAAACCTCTGAGCGACTCATACTACCCGACTCTTCCTTCAAGAAGTCACTAAGGAGAGTGTAGCTACCATGCTCAGAGAGCACCAAGAAGAACCTAAAGACTAACCAGTATAGTCTTCCGCTTAATGGTTTTCTCCTGTAAACAGTCCTTTAACGCTTTCCCCCACTGGAGAGAAGTGTAAAGACTCTATTCAGACTGAATCAGGAATATTTTAAAAGGTAAGCAGTGGCCAAGTCATTTTGCAGTTCTGGCAAATGCTTGCTTCAGGTATCAGATGCTTTAAACTCCGGACCCGCCTCAGACCTTAAGCCCAAGTTGCCTATGGTGTTATTTATTACGTGTTATGCTTAGTACCTGTGAAAGGGGGCACTCCTTGGCCAACGAACTCTGATTCATATCTTTGAGTAAGTCCTTCAGAGCATTCCTTACTGTGGTGTGCGACCATTGTTCAGGAGGCAAGTCTTCTAGTTTGGGGCAACTATTTGAGACATAGATTAGAAAGGGGATTATTACAAGATTGCATCCCGCTGCAGAACATTCCTTTAAGACAGACAGATTTCATTTTGCGCATCAAACAGATGCATCTGGAGATTGCTCTCGGTCTCCTGATTGTTCCGATTAGTTAATTACTTTATACAACACATCTGCTGTATCGATGCATGAATTATACATCAGCTGCCTGTGGTGGCTATTTTTTCATGTTACTTCTACCTTCCTGCTCTGATGCGCTTGGGAAGACAATTTAAGGTGTACTGCTTTCTCAGGAGCCATCGTGAAAAGCATAAACGTATTAACTGATTTGCTTTCATTACTCTGTTCATACGAAATAAAATGGTAAAAAAAAACCCAACATAAATAAATAAGATCATGGCAATAGCGAATAAGGCATTCTTTCACAAAATGTACACAGATGGCACTGTTCATGATATGCAAAAATATTTTTTTCTTAAGTAAACTTTATGTGAAATGCCTTCTTGTAATGCATCATTTAATTGACTAAATATAAAAAGTCTTGTCTTTTGATAACGTATAAAAATCTACAAATTTGTGGGGAGTGTTTTTAAATTATACACTGAAGTTAGGGGAATAGAGCAGAAGGGGTTAAGGTAACAAAATAAACCTGGATTCACCTTTCTGAAACACAGGGTAAAGAGGAACTGAAGGTTGGGGTGAGATGTGTTATTTCAGAGAACTAGGCATGGAGAATGTTTCAGCCCAGAACTGCTGCCTGACTCACCTGTGTAACTGAATTTTCAATGTGACCACATGATACACATCTTGAAGCATATCTGCTACGGTAGCATCAGGGGCATCTGTCACGTAAGACAGTGGGACTGGATTCCACTTTCCAACCTGGATTAGCCCTATTCCAGATAAAGAAGGTATGTCACTGACTATTTCACTCTCAGATGATATATGTAGTTCAAAGCTTTTTTTTTTTTTTTTTTTCCCTGTTGCCCCCACCATAAGCAATATTGTTACTTCTGTTTGAATGATTCCCTTTCCTCTAAAAGGCAGGTCAATGAAAATATTCACAGCTTAGCTTTCCAAATTGTGAAATTATGTAAATGACTATAGGGTTGTTTATTATTTTGGAAATAACACCCCATCAATAAAATCTATGCATAAGGCCACATTTTCCTAACTTACAGAAAGTTCTAATAAGACATAGCAGAACCAGTTCTAAATGGCTTTACGATTTAGATAAGATTCTCTACTGCAGTGGGAATCAGCATTGAAAAATACTTTACAGCCCATAAAACCATCAGAAACAGAATAAAAGAAACAGAACTAGATATTCAGTCATAAATGCAAATTGACTCTCAACAGTCCATCTGCTCAAATACGCTCCTCACTTCCTTGTGGGTCCTCAGTGGAGCAGATTATTAAGGTCAATAAGCATACTAATGATTCAGCTGAAGTAATTTAAAAAAAAAATCTACCTCAACATTCCACATGAGCAAAATGTGTGTTAACTAAACCAAACTGAATTAAGCCAATTTTTTAAAGCCACAGTCTATAAGGAACCAATATAAAACACGGGCTACAGCTCTTTGAAAAAAAATATTCACTGCTTTCTCTACAAGGTAAACAAAGGATTCCAAGAAAATTTTCCCACCCAACATATGCATTATTTACCTTTGGCCTGGGCAGCAGAGCTATGGGAATAACCTAGAGACAGCAATGCCATTTCTATCAGCTGGTTGAAAAGCATATCCTTTCTCACCAACACAAATTCCGCATGCTCCTCCTTGCAATCATATTCAATGGCGTTTTCATAATGTTCCACCACGCAGAAAACTGGTAACATGGTTCCTATCAAAAAGAAAGGAAAACAACAATCCTCAGAAATATGGTTGGAGGAGTAGGAAAAACTAAGCTTTAAAAATAAATCTTTACAACAGTGAGAGAGAGACCGTTTCCAAGGCAGACTGGGTACAGAGATGCAAACATTCACACAAATAGATGAACAGATACAATCTTTTCTTTTTTAAAGTTTTAAGAGAAATATCTAAACAGAGTATGAAGTTGGTCTTAAGATAACTTGAGCTCTACTCTAATTTTAATGGTGCATTTTCCAAAAGCAATAAATGCAGAATTACTTTTTGATCAAATAATAATGCTGACAAGAGAGAAGTATGTCTTACTTGATTTGCTTTGAGTCCTATACAATATACACACAAAATGCACTGCAGTGGTCTTCAGAACCCACCATCCCACTGCCTATATGCTTGTTAATAATGAACTTTTTCTGTTTGTCTAAACAATTATCTTTGGTCCAAAAAAATTACCATTTTCTCTTTTTGAGATATTTATTCTAACTGGTTCCATTAAAGAAACACAAAACCACACTGACATTCATAACACACAATTTCAATGTGCATAATGTAGAAATAAGTAACATTTATTTTTGTGATTACTCATTTAGTCTACCATAACTAAGAGATTTTATAGTGGCCACAATCTTTAAAATGAACAAGTTCCATCTTATAACATGATAAAAATGAGAGAGATAAAGAAAAGTGGCCTCTTCAGGATATATTACAAAAAGGAATTCACATGGATTTGATGTGCTCTCTCTTGGTTTACTCTAATCCAAGGTAATAACTCAGTAGCCAGATGATTAATAAGCACAGGTCCCACTACTATCAGAAAAGAGCTGTGGTCTAGAAACTAAAAATCAGACTGCTACTGCACTCAAGGTGTTACGCAGTACACTGTCATACTTGCAGTAGTAACAGAAAAGGGTTAAAAACAGATGTAACTGAACTGTACCATGGCAAACTGCCAAGAGGGTATCATCTTTAGCATAAATGATGACAAGGGTTACTTTAACAGGGCACCCAGGATCCCCAATTAGTCCCACAATGTTCATGCCTGTAAAAGCGCTGTCCTTCGGACCCAAGAATCCTACCAACTTCTGAAGACGTCTAGTGCATACCAAACATCTCCAAAAATCAGTATTTCCCACTGACCCCAGAGAGGCCCTTCACAAATTCTCCATTTGCCTGTTTCTGCTGAACAAAAGCCGGCAATAAAACAGCTACATTTTTCCACATGTGTGTCTCCACCAAAGCTTTAGTGAACTGTGCACAGGAGATTCTAGTACTGACAAATAAACCCCTTTAGGTTTAGAGAAGCTCACAAACTCATTCGGAAGTACCAACAGGCTAGGCATGAAAAACAAGCCGCACAGCCTGCCAATATTCTTGTCATTCATTCAGCTGTCGTATACCAAAGAGAGAACCCATCAGGGATTAGAAGACAACTTAGGGAGACCACAGCAAAAATAGCAATATGCAAACTGGTGATTTCTTCCTTGGCTTGAAGGTATTTTGGCAAAATCTCCTAAACAAATAAAAACATACAACTCCTTTTTCTTAGTAGTGCTTTCTTAGCTCAGCCACAATTTTTATCTAGCACCTGTCAAACAAAAACCATACTCATAAAAAATAAGATGAGGGGGACTGAGAGGCTTTAGTAACTGTAATTTGATTAAACAGAGACCTTTCTATACAAACAACATTTTAAAATAAGCCATCGTAAGTAAAATACTTTTTAAAAAAAGCATTTGAGCAGGAAGTGAAATTATTGCACTTTGGGTCCTCCTCCCCTTGCACTGATGTATTCAAAGAACTGGGTTAGTACAACATATACACTGATACAAACACATATACACTGATTTTTCCTCTTATGGGATGAAATAGATGTATTCTATTACATGCTGCTTCTCAGGCCTATGAAATAACTTCTCAGATCTATGAAACGATATTGGCTTTTTAAACTACTGAAAAATACTGAACTTACTTTGTATTTTATTGATCAAATTCAGAGGTGCCTCTTGGTTAATAAAAGTAGCTATGGATATGGTACAATAGTATCATCTAATTGTAAATCCAGCTGCTAAATCTTCTAGTAAACTGTCAGGGTTGCCCTGCTCTTACTGGGAGTAATGCTAAGCAGGAGCCTTCTCTGAACATCTGATTATTCGTCCTAGTGTTTGGCGAGACTTCCAACTACAGCAACTTCACAACCTTCCAGCATTAAAGGGGAGAGCACTGGTCACTGCTGAATGCTAAAAATACCACATGATTTAAACCTGAAGGCAGTCTTAGAAGCTTTTGCTGAAGGTTTATTATGAGCCTGTGTAAACAGCACGCCTGCCATAAGGAGCAGTGAAGTCTGTAGAATCCTTGTCTAAAACTGTCCTGGCATTAAAGTTTGCTGTGCAAATATCACATAATACCAGAGACAGCTGAAATCTCCTATTTAGGAATTTATGGAACTTATATGTTTGCAGGCGTCAGAAAGTCTTTTTTATAGAGCCCCAGTGCTTCACAGTACAATATTAATGCACTCTGTTTGAAAAGCCGTAATAAATTATATTTTTAATGCTCTTACCCTGGCTTTCTTAAGATGCATACATTCTTGGCAAACAATCAATAAATAGGGTAATCATGAGTAGAGGCCAAAGAATTTGCTGAAGTGCTGTTTTTCCATTTTTAATAGATAAAGATCTAACAATACGGACTGCTGTGTCTGTTCATTTCAGGATCAATACATTCTTTGTTTTCGCCAAACCAAGGAAAAAATAAATGATTGTATGATAAATGTTATGCATCAAACACAATGAAATTCCTCTGCCTTCTAACTTTATCTACTTAATATTCTTGGTTGCTAAAAGATAGCATTTTTATCCTTTCCTTAGCAAATGCAAGGAAAATCTGATTTCTATACATGTTATTCAGAAACAAAGTAAGACTCTTATGAAGCACACATATTATACCCAGGATAGGCACTATTCTACGTCAAACACACTCAAAGTTGTTAAACTTCATCAAGTTTCGTATTGGTAAAAAGCAGTTATGTATCTTTTCTTCATAAGCTCACCTAAATCTACCATTCCTTTACCCAAATATAGCAAAACTTAAAAAAACTGGAATCATCTGATTTTTCACTGCTAAATAATGAATATGCTCTTCAGAACACACACACACACACACACACACACACACACGGATATAACCAAACTTTCATATCATGTAAGATTTTCATGATCTCTGAAACTGCCTTACAACTAATACGCATTAAAAAAAAAAAAAAAAAAAAAAAAAAAAAAAAAAGCTAGGGTGATTTCCAAACAACCTAAATGTCTTATTTTTAGTAAGAATTAGTTTAAATTAACAGTCACCTACTATTCTTTACAACAACACCTTTTGAACTGACCCTGGCTACTACTTCACCTTTATCACACAGAAAGTCCACTGATTCCAATCTGCATTAGAACACGTTCCACTCAAAAACACAGCCTACACTTTGAAAATGTGATTTATGTTATATCCCAGGATGTAACTCATTTCATAGCAGAAGGAGAATTCAGGAAAAGCATATACAAAGCACGTCCTGCCCCTCACCCCCATACACAGGCTGTTGGGTAGACATGCACTTGCAGCTAGACAGTATTTGGCTCAGAAGTATTTACCTTTCCTAAGGCTGGTTTTCATCAGATGGCCCGAGTGTTTTAAAGGCACTCCCTGCATTTTTGCACCTGTACTCCCAAGCCTGCCTCTTCCTAGTGGGCTCCCGTTCTGCTCCAGGCGGGCAATCTTGGCTGGCGGACCCTTTGGATCACTCACATTGTTAGACATTTCTGAATGTTCTTTCCCCTGAGTTGTCTCGTTCAAATGATCCATACTCAGTCACTCTCTAAAGATCACCTGCCAGGATTTAAAGAGAAGACATGTTATAATTGAGTGAGGGTCTATAGCTCTATGTGTCCCATATTAAACATTTTAGACTTCTCTCTCCACAAATACACTTGTGAAGCTATATATAATACCGATGTTACTGTATTTCTAGATAACAGCACATTTCTATTCAAATTAATAATTTGTGGCACAACTGTACCAAATGTCAGTGAAAAGGTAATTTGTCACTTACAAACAAAAGTGAACAAAAATGGGCATACTTTCAGAACAAGAATTACAAGCTAAAAAAGAAAACACGTTTATGTAGCCATAATTTTTAAAAACTACAAACTCATGATAGTCTACGACAGCAACATTTTAAAGGATGGAAGAATTATCAGTCTAAAATATTAAATTTAATGCATATACTCATATTTCACGTTTTGAGAAAAATATATACAACATCTTCAAAGAGGGCAGCGAACATGTAAGTGCTATTTAGACTCCCTACTGGCTTTCCAAGCTAATGCAGACAAGTTTTTCACTATCAAAGTTTCAAGAGTTCCAGTGCCCTGTTAAAGATCTAGTCAAGCCTTGGGTCAAACATGTGACTGACTCACTTAATCCCTGAACACACAGGAAGAAGTGGAGGGTTGCTTCAAATATCCTAGGTACTGAAGATTTACAATTTCAGCTTGTCTTTTACAAGTAACATTTTGGTGTGCATCACCAATAAAATGTGGTTATCCATTTAACAAGCAAAATTATATACACAACAGGGGGACATGCTAATTTCATTCTATAACAAAAAAAAAAAACCCTTGATATTGGTAAAACTTCCATCTTCAGGATTCAAAAGTAACCTCATTATTCAATGAATACTGTAATTTCAGAAAAAAAACATAACTATGTTTTACTGTAGATTTTACACTCCTAATAAGGTGATATTAGTTCACTATAAAAGTCACTTCTAAAATACAGTTTACCTAGAATTTATAAGAGCAGGTGGGTAAATGTGGAACATTCATTATTTTCATACTCGAAGTATTGGGCGTAGCAACACTAAGGGTAGCATATTTAGGAAAAAAGGAAACTATTATAATTACCAATTTCTCCTAGCTATTAATTTGACATATCTTGCTTTTTAAAAAAAATTATATCTAAGTTATTTAGATCTGCATCTACTGAAACTCAGTTTGTATTAGCATGGATTTCTGTAAACACTTTTTTCTTGTTTTAAGTACAGGCTACTTCATCCTGTATAACTGAGAAAGGAGAGAGGGATGTTAATCTGGAGGTTTAAAAGCAACCTTAAGAATGCCAACTGAAGAACTATAAAGTTTGAGAAATAATAATGGCCATTTATCTTTGTACTCCAGGGTGGCACACTGAGAACTAAAGGTTTACCATTGATCGGGGTCCCATCTGTTTTTGGTTATGAGGTTCATTAACAATAAATGCGCCTTTTTAAACCACTTTTTATCAAGATTACTCTTTTCCATTATATTAAACTGCAGTCTAAAGCCAAAATTAGAGAGTGATGATTACCAACTTATTCAAAACACTATAATGTTTCATGTGGATTATGATGCAGAACTGTTTTCTCTAAAATTGGTTGCCTTAACACAGAGAAGCCAATTTTAAAACATGATTATTAAAAAAAAAATCTTTAACCCTTGGGGCAACTCAAGAGAAAAAAAAAGAAAAAGTAGACAACAGCATCAAAGTTAACACCACAAAACATATTAAGTAATCATGAGGCTTAACAGCATTATAAACTGTACAGCAAATGAAAGTGATAGATTATAATTTAGTTAATGTATTGACAAAACATCATATAGGTCATGCAGAATTGTCCTTTGAATACCCACCTGGAATCCTCTATTAACACTAAGTCATTCCGTAAAAAGCTTTACGTTATAAAGCAAAATTACATGCACATAAAACACCCAATTTACTCCTTTAAACTCTATGCCCAAGGCTAAAGTTCACCAAACCTCAGTTTGGAATTGAAAAGAGCAACCTCCAACAGGCCTGCACGGTCTGACAGCAGCAGGAACCTAGCTATGGTCTCAACAGATGCCAGACTGAAGAGTTTCTTTTGAGTTACACATTTTAAAAACCCTTTTAGTGTAACGTCTGTTTGGCACACACAATGCAGGCTATTTTGTCAAAATCCCATTTCCCTGTCCATAAACTAAAACCATATATGATAATTACTAAATAAAACAGTGAACTCAGCCTCAGCTATTATTTCCTTAAAAAGAAAGAAAAACACGACATTCCCGTTTCAAGAACCTAGTTTTTGCATTGTGGGATCCTTTTCAATGAGTTCCTTGCTGGATCGCGTCTCTAGTCCCCACTGAACCCCATAATCACAAATTAAGAGACTGTGCCCTTATCCATTCCATATGGCCGGCACGATCCAGGCCAAGCTTTCACTGTGACCTTTTAAAGAGACAAAGAAGCAAAGTACTATCTAGAAACAGAAACACTGCAGTTTTACTGAGTGAAATTAGCAAAACCGACCTGAAACTCACCACTTCAAAACTTGACAGCATATAAATAACAAAAACAAAGGAGATTTCCTTTGCAGCCCGGGGTTCTTGAAGTGAAGTTCAAGACTGATGTTTTCTATATCCCTTCTTTTTAATTAAAAAAAAAAAAAAAAAAAAAAAAAAAAGGCAGCAGACCTGAAGGCGACTTCCCCTGAAATTGTATTATTTTCTCTTCCCCTACTCCCGCCCCCCCCAAGCGGGGGAAGGGCAGAAATAAACGTCTACAGGAGTAGCCATGGGAAAAGGTCTTTTAAAAAAATCACAATTCGGAAAACAACACACACACACACACACACACACACACACACACATATGGTTTGTAAAACGTCTAACCTCAAAGAACAGGGTTTTCGATGGGGAGGAGGGGAGAGTGGGAAGCAGAGAGGAGGGAGAAGATAAAATTGATCTGACAAGTGATTCGTGGGGGGGGTATCGTAAAAACAAAGCAAAACCCGTTAGGAGCTGTACACTGTGGCGGTGCTGGGGAGGCGAGGTGGTGACTGAAGAATCTCTTAAAAAGAAAAAAATAAATAAATCACTGCGGACAAGGTCTCCAGAAAGGAGAGCGAGAGAGAGGGAAAAAAGGGTTCTCTTCCTCCCTCCCGCTTGCTCGGGTTCTTCGAAGCGAGCACAGAAAGTCTACTTCTGGCTGTCACTTGCGATATTATTCTCCGGAACCCCGGCGAACGCGGGGACTGGCAGGCCACCTCGCCTCCCTCCCGGCCGCCCCCACCCCGCCCCACAACTGCGACTAATATTAACAAACCTTAAACTTTTCCCATAGCCCCGCACCCCCAACGATGGCATCTACCGGGGGACAGGCGCGTGAGGGACACGGGGTGGCCGAAAAAGCCCCGGAAAGGCACTAAAATGCCACTTTTGATCCCGCCCTCGCTGACAACAGCCCGGAGGACCCCGTCCCTGCCCATGGACGCAGGGCTGCGCGCGTCTGGGGCGCCCGGGGAGGGGGGAGCGGAGGGCGGG